TGTGTGTGTGTGTGTATATATATATATATATATATATATATAAAGATAATAAGAGTTTGTTTCTTACTCCGCAGTTAATACAAGACACATGTAATCGAAGGTAAGATCACCACCACTGCGAACGCCATCGACGACCTGTTTCACTGTCAATTTCGATCTAATAGAGCCTACGAAATCGTCCCAAGCGTTTTTACGGTCTTCTGATTCTTTCCGTCTGAATAACAGAAAATACATGAACATATTTTCATTTACGCTAATCTCAGCAAAAATCAATTTAAAAAACCTGCGAGCAACGTCGTCCTTGACAGCCAACGATTTTGTACCGTTCACACCGCTGTACGTACATTGCGTCGGGATTACGCTAAAAATAAAAAAATCAATGACCAAAATCATAACTTCGAACGTACTGAAACTTGTGCGATTTCTTTAGTTCAGCGTAAACTCACCTGACTATTGAGTTCATTTTAACACCAATACCCAACTCGGTGAGGCAATGTATACAATTTTCGCAGGGTTCACCGGCGGGTACTGGAAATATCACCTTCCACCAGAAAGCTTTGTTTGCATTCATCATTTGGAAATATATATATGTTACGAGAAATATGATTAATTCGAACATCATGCATAATGGTTGGTCAATATGCATAATGCCTGCCTATTTTAACCGAGCATTATGCATAATGTCCGAATAAATTAATTTCTCGCATATACATTTAGATGGAAATGTATCCGCAACTTTGGCCGTACCTCATAATACATGTCTTCCTTGTCCTTGCACCATACAACATGTTCTACTCTTAGCTTTTTAAGGAGCTCTTCCAACACCTGTAAAAGCAAACCTCATAAGTTAATAAGAGTGGATATAATTAATAAAACTTAGAGTATTGAATACAATTAAATCATAGAGCTATTTACAAAGAAAATTCTCTATCTTTGAAAGCGAGTTAAACTCTTAAAATATAAAGTTATCTTAAAGTTGAAGAGTCAAAATCAAAGAATTAAAAAGAAATGTGAAATCTATAATTATAATTATAGATATATATCTACTTAATAAGTACAATTCATTTTTTCATTTAATTTTGATAATATTATCTTATCGTTTATAACTTCGTATTATAGTCTATGTTTTATTTTCTTGTAATGTTTTTTATTATACTTTACCGTTTCCATCGACACGAAGACCGGTGATTTCGACCGCGTGGGATATCCGCGAGGATATTTTCTGCCTTCAATACCAACATCAATACCGACGTCGTCGTCTTCGTTATCGCCATCATCATCAAGCGTGAGTAATTGCGCACGACTTTTTGTTTCCTTTAGACGAAGGTCTACCTTCGGCCCTATGATTTTATTTTTGCTCTTTTCGATCTTCTTCGAGCGTTTTACCGGCACACCGAATACAAGTTGATGCTCGTAGCTCAAAGTGGGGATACAGACCAGAAATACAACACCCCCAGGCATGTTTATTCCGTAATCGACTTTATTGCACGAAAATCACTTACTCGATCTGCCTCGTGTGATCACGAAGACTGTTCTGCTTTCGTAGAGCGATCGTCAGAAGATCGAAGATGCAATTCATTCATCAACTAACGATAATTACTTTATTGCCTGGTTCATAATTGTTCTGTGTAGTAAAGACGACTTAAGATGTTATTTTCAGATGATCGTGACATTAGAAATATTCGAAGTTCATGGAAATATTCTTGCTTGGAAATAATTTGAGGAACTTTCGAGGAAGCATATAATTACAGAAATATTTATAATTCTTATTTTTCTTTTTAAGAAGGAAGATGTCAGTAAGGAAGGATGAACAGTTTAAAAATAGTATCGATCTTCTTAAAAATCAAGTGTTATTATTATAAGATCTTTAAGGTGAGAATGATCTTTAAGGAATTGGCAGATAAAGAGGTAAGAGATTATATATGAAATAAAAATATCAAATGTAATAATGTTTTAAGAAATAAACATTTATTTCCTTTTTAACAAATCAACAGCGTAGAGACTAGCATCTAAAGACTAGTCCGATGTTTTTTTATCCGGTCTAAGTAACTAAAGGCCGCGAGGAATATTCCATGCGAGGGGAACTTCCAAATCTGTGCGAAATCATTTTTTATTTATCGTCACAAAAAACCCGTGTGTTTTTCTCTGTTTTTTTTTACAAAGCGAACTTATACCCTGTCACCCTTACGTGATACAAAAGTGATTCGGTATCAGAGATCGCGTACGCTAAATTAAGTACTGATCCGTATTACAATAATGCATTTATAAGGAAGTATAAAAATCACAGGGTCCCAAAGAACCATGAGGTAATTGGTAAAAGTCAAAAGCCTATTGAGTCTAATTATGGCAAGAATAAAATCGGTATTAGGTAATTGTTATATGAGCGACGCAAAAATAAATACAAGAGATTCCTGTTAGTTGAACTTTTGGCATAATTCAACTTTTCTCTTTTTTTCTTCAATGTAGAGAAAAAGAGGAAAAGTAAACAGTGCAAAATATTCAACTAAAAAGAATGAGCCTAAGGCTCGGTTGCATCAATATTACTCTGATTTTCAGCGAAATTCTCTCTACCTCGTTTTAAAACTGAAAAGAGACAGGAACAAAGAGAGTTTTAAGCCTCACTTAAAATTAAAGTAACGTTGGTACAATCGGACCTAAGGAAGATAGCAATTTCTGTAATATACCTACAATAGAAATGTTTGGGACGGTTGATGACAAGGTTCTACTGTTTCAGGCGATCCCATTTCTTAACTTCATTCTCTATTCTCGATTCGTATTTTTGATAATCAAAATAAGTCTCCAACTATTAAAAGACTCTGTTGACCAAGTTCCCCTCGAAACTAGCAAGAACTCGACGCTTCTGATTTCCGCCCGCGCCGAGCGATGGCTATAATTATTAATTATTAATAGTAGAACTAGTATAATCACATACTAGTGATAGTAACAAGTGTAACAATAATAACTAGAATACCGAATGGTCTAGTGGTCGCACTCCGCCTCCTTTTATTTTTCTCTCTTCTTTCTTTCTCCACTGACGAAATAATACTAAACGATAACAAAAATAGTGAGGATGAGGATGCTGCTGAGGATGACAACGATGAGAATGCCGATAATTTTCTAGCGTACCTTTTCTAAGAAAAACCGTATGTACATGCTTCTGGCGGCTTTTCACTAAATATTGACCAAGAGGTGCCGTGGCCGCGCGATATTAACAATGTATTATAACAGTGTATTATCATATACCAGGCACCATGTTACTCACGAGTATCCGCTTGCTGAAAAAGTTTCTTTAAGGCCATACTCGAAGAGAAGAGCGGCGCACCTGTACGCACCTCTCTCATCTGGTTCTACGCAATTGATAGTTGCACCGTCGATTGAACATGTGCGTGTAACCGTTCGTTTGAAAGGAATTAATTCTCCTAAATTCAGCTGGGGATGTGTCGCTACAAGATGTCATCTATGTATACCGCGACGTACCGCGTTGCATTCATGCGTGCGTAACATGCGTCAGAAACACGATAACGAGACTACTAACGATATAACGCACCTAATGTTGGATTAATGTCGTTTTGCGAAGCTACGGCCAGACTATCGACTTAACGAACAAAGCGTAGATTTGATCGAATGATTAATGAATGCCTAATTCTCAATCATTCGACTATTTTCCTTCATTATTTTCCTTTCATTATTTTCAAAAGCTTATGGCAGAGATGTTTCATAGTATATCTATAATTGACAGTTTGATGAGTTTGAGAATTTGATGTGCACAAAATGAGCACTTTTCAAAATCTTGTTAGGAAGAATAAAAATATTTCCTATCAAGCGACGTGGAGATAAAAATTAAATTTTCTCTATAGAAAATGATATCATAAAATAGTTAGGTAGTAACGTGAATCATTTATTTTATTGAAAATTGGATATTTTTACCAGAAGTGACATTATGGCGCAAGTTTTTTTTTTCTGTCATTATCCTACTGGCAGAATTATGTTCAGAATTTATAGTAAATTGTGGCAGCGACTTAAGTGTTTAATCCGACTTTATACGTAATTTTCTACTAAGTCGATTAGTCTGACCGTAAGCTAATCGCGTAGTACACAACAGCGATGATCATCGTCTAATCCACCCCCGAGAGAAGGTACTCGTGGTAAATCTTGGGACAAGCTGGCGGCGCATTTAACGGCGCCGCGCAACAATTCTTACAACACAAACACACTTTTATCAATAGCACCGACAATTTTGCGCCGATAATGACGACGACGGTAGCGTACAAGTCATCGGCGTCCAAGCACTTTTATAGTCCTTATAAGGCCACAAATCCAAGACGTCTTAAAGACGGATTTAGAAAGAAGCCCTTGCTCTTGACAAGCGCCCTCGTTCTCGCGAATGCATTTCATGCGACGTGCAGAAAAAAATAACAGTGATTCATCAAATTTCAATCTCGTCTACGTGTTTCGTTTCCTTCCGAATTGGCGAGCTGTCTCGCGAATACCGAATACCAAACTGGAAGAATAGAAGATCGTTCATTCCAGAGAGATTCATCACTTTTTTGCGTTACCATCGCGGAAAAATTTGTCATCATTAACTTTTTAAAAGAATATCTTCTCTTTTCTTGTATAACCTTCATTCAATTAATGAAATTTTCGCGTCTTCCTAAATATTTCTCCTCGTACAAAATTTAATTCAAAAGAATTTAATTCATCTTCGATGTGTTTTTCACAGTCTCTCTTTGCACAGTCATTTCTCCTGGAATCTATTCATCGCAACGTCTTGTTTCGCATATTTGTGGGGCGTATTAATAAAATTCAGGCCGATTCAGGTTCGTGAGATGGCCCCTGCAGAAGGCGGCTTGTCAAGGGCAGATCTTCTCAAACGGGGGCACTCGGTCGTCGCAGGAGCGAAGTGAGCAACGAATGTCGCGGTGGTCGTCGGAAGGGCCGACGACGTCGACGCTCGACATCCGTGAAGGAGGACTGTCGCTCCTCAGCGACGGTCCCCAAGGGTCAAGCCTTTTCCTCTTCTTCGTCATCTACATCCTCCGATGATTCCGACGTGGAGGAGGTGATCAGGGCGGTCGACAGAGTCGGCATTTGGGCGGGCGAGCAGGCGAGGGAGTTAAGGCGTACTCTCTGAACATTCCAGCAGTCCGGCAAGGAGTGAGATCCGTCGTCCGCAGTTTTGTCCACCGAGCGAGCTCGGTCGGCGAAGCCGAGCTCCATCATTGACACCCTCCTCGCGGGCACCCTCCTCGGATTGCCTGGAAAGGAAAGCCGAAGGTGTTATTTATTTGAGGAAATCGAATTTACGAATAGCACTTTGGCCAATTATCGATGTCTCTCAACTATTTTAATGTATCTTGAAGATATTTAAAGATATATTCTAGGAAAAAATCGATTTTTCTTTTTTAATATTTAAGGTCTCTCGAAAATAAGTTTCTAAAAGCTTTTATCGATAAAAAATAATGGAGATATAGGTGTTTTGAAGTTGTTTTAGCATATATTGTTTAATGCACGCACTCTGTCAACGCGACCAAAGGCAGCTATTATCAAGCGTAAACAAGAGAAAAATGAAAATGAGCATTTCGAATAAAAGAAAGTTTTTTGTATCCTGGTATCGCCGATTAGAGTAAACTTTCATTTTTTTATATTGAAACTTGA